GAATCCACCTTCTCAAGTACACATGGGACATCCACCAAGACAGACCCTAATCTAGGTCATGAACAAGCCTTAATCAATTTAAAAGAATTGAACTAATATAAAATGCATTCTTTTTAAAAGAAATTTTTTTTAACAGGCAGAGTTAGTGAGAGAGAGAGAGGAAGGTCTTCCTTTTTCTGTTGGTTCACCCCCAAGTGGCTGCTACAGCCGGCGCTGAGAGGCAGAAATACAGACACACACACACACACACACACACACACACGCACACAGGTACTCCATCCATTGGTTCATTCCCCAAATGGCTTCAACAGCTGGGGCTGGGTCAGGCCAAAGCCAGGAGCCAGGAACTCCATCCAGGTCTCCCATGTGTGTGGCAGGGTCCAAGCACCTGGACCATCTTATGTTACTTTCCCAGGTGCCTTAGCAGAGCTAGATGGGAAAGCTGAGCAGCTGGGACTTGAACCAGCACTCATATGAGACACTGGTGTTGCAGGCTACAGCTTAACCTCCTACACCACGGCACCTAGAATGTGTTCTTTGACCACAGTGGGAAAACTAGAAATCAGTAACAGAAAAATAGTGAAATCTTCAAACACTTGAAAATGAAATAACACATTTTGAAATAATTCATGAATCAAAGAACCTGGAAATGACCTAAAGATCCTTCCATGGGTGAATGGAGGAACAAACTGATGGACGCATGTAATAGAATACCATTAGAAAAAGCAATACATTTAATTCACATAACAACTTATAAGATGCTGAAAGGCATTATTCTGGCTAATGATGCCTGTTTTAGGGACTGGCACCAGGCCTTGCAGGTAAAGCCATCACCTACAATGCTAACATCCCATATGGGTGCCGGTTCAAGTCTCAGCTGCTTTACTTTTAATCCTGCTCTCTGCTAACGGCCTGAGCAAAGCAGCTGAAGATGGCCCAAGTGTTTGGCTGCTGCCATACACGTGGGAGACCCAGATGAAGCTCCTGGCTCCTGGCTTTGGTTTGGCCCAGCCCTGACCATTGCGGCCATCTGGGGAGTGAATGAATGGATGGAAGATCTCTCTCTCTCTCTTTCTCCCTGTCTCTTTGTAACTCTGACTTTCAAACAAATAATAAAAAATAAATAAATCTTTAAAAAAGGAAGGCTGTTTCAAAAGGTTACATAGTATGTGACATTCTTGAAAGGACAAAACTGCCGTGGTAAGGGGGAAAGGTTAAGGAATGATTTACAGGAACAGTATGTGTGGGGAGCAACTGGGAGCAACTCGGACTAGACTAAGTTACTGGAATTAAGACTTATTCTATGCATCTGCTCTCCCACAATATGGCGCTGGGAGAGGAGGAAACAGCTTCTACACAGCTGCCTCCAGTTCAACCAATAAACTGTAGGACCTGCTCCTGATTGGAGGAGAGCAGCGTACTCGGCGTGTGGGTAGCAGAGTTGGGATTGGTGGAAGAGGACTATAAAGGAGGAGAGAGACAACATGCACCAGGAACATCTATCTGAAGGAACACCTGTGCAGCCCCTGAGAGAGCCGGCCGGCGGTGTGCCGCTCCCCCGCGGAAGTGGGGAAAGTGGCAGGGGGAACCGCCCTTCCACGGAGGTGGAAGGGACGGTAGCCAACCCGGGAAGAACCAGCAGCAAACCCGGGGAGGGCCGAGCAGACAAAAGAACAACACAGGGTCCTGTGTCGTTCCTCCACGAAGAGGGGGAGCGACATAATGGTGCCATGACTCGGATAGGAAACCTAGGCAGGGTCCTGTGTTGTTCCTCCACGAAGAGGGGGAGCGACATAATGGTGCCGTGACTCGGATATGAAGCCTAGGCAGGGTTTAGTGTTGTTCCTCCATGAAGAGGGGGAGCGACATAATGGTGCTGTGACTCGGATAGGAAACCTAGGAGGGAAGAAGCGGGAAGAAGTGGGAAAATACCGGAGAGAGAGACTAGCAAAGAGCCTAGGGGAAAGCCGGACGGAAAAGGTGCCGGAAGAAGCTATCGAAAGCCTAGGCATAGACTCGGATACAGACTGTGGGAAAGAAGTTAGGATTGGACGTTAGGGTTGAAAGCGAAAGTGAAACCTAGAAGAAACTTAGACTTGGATACGGACTGTGGGGAGAAGCCAGGAGAAATGAGGGAGGAATATTGTTGGAAGAAAAGTTAGGAAACATTCCGGGTAGAGAAAAATGTTAGGGAAATTGAAGCCGCGGGGGCAGGCTGAGGCGGAGACGTAAGCTATATTGGGATTCGTCAAGTCAGCCTGGGGAACAAGGGGCGAAAATCTGGAACCAGAGGCGGAGACATGGGCCAGGTTGGAATCCGTCAGATTAGCCCGGGGAGCAAAAGACGGGAAGCCAAACCGAAAGGCGCAGACGTGAGCTAGGTTGAATTCACCAGGTTAGCCCGGGGAACTTAGACTGAATAGCGGTGGCAGAAACGTGAGCTAGGCTGTGTGATTCGCGGAAGCCGCCGCGTGCAGAGAGAGCGCACGGGGCGCAAGCAAATAGGGAACGTGGGGCTGGCGCTAAGGCCGTGGTGTGGGCTCAAAGGGCGCGGAGACTGCGGAGCGCACAAAGCCGGGAAGCCGCCGCGGGGCGAGGCGCCGAGAAAGGCGGGAAGCCGCGGGGATAAGAGAAACAGAAGTTTAGAAGTAAAATGAGAGAAATAGGAATGCTGGCAGATAGAAGTAAAATAGGAGAGATAGGAATGCCCGGAGGTAGAGAAATAGAAAAATAAGGCCTCCCCACAACATGGCAATGAGAGAGCTTGGATTCGGTCTGCCTGATTAGTAAGATGATAAGCACCTGTGGGCGGCTGCAGGTCACCGAAGACAGGCACGTTATCAACACCAATAAGTCTCCCCACAAGACGGCAATGAGAAGGCTTGGATTCGGTTTGCCTGATTGATAGGGCTTGTAAGCACCTGCAGGCAGTTCTAGCAGAGCAGAGCATGCGCTGCAGGGCACCGAACACAGGCACGCATCAGCGCCTAAAAACCTCCACAACATGGCGAAGAGAGGACCCAGATTCGGTTTGCCTGATTGATAGGACTTGTAAGCACCTGTGGGCAACTCTAGCAAGCAGAGCAGAGTGTGTGCCGTGGGGCACCGAAGACAGGCGCGTATCAACGCCAAAAATAAAAAGAAAGGGGGATCTGTGGGGAGCAACTCAGACTAGACTAAGTTACTGGAATTAAGACTTATTCTATGCATCTGCTCTCCCACAATATGGCGCTGGGAGAGGAGGAAACAGCTTCTACACAGCTGCCTCCAGTTCAACCAATAAACTGTAGGACCTGCTCCTGATTGGAGGAGAGCAGCATACTCGGCGTGTGGGTAGCAGAGTTGGGATTGGTGGAAGAGGACTATAAAGGAGGAGAGAGACAACATGCACCAGGAACATCTATCTGAAGGAACACCTGTGCAGCCCCCGAGAGAGCCGGCCGGCGGTGTGCCGCTCCCCCGCGGAAGTGGGGAAAGTGGCAGGGGGAACCGCCCTTCCACGGAGGTGGAAGGGACGGTAGCCAACCCGGGAAGAACCAGCAGCAAACCCGGGGAGGGCCGAGCAGACAAAAGAACAACGCAGGATCCTGTGTCGTTCCTCCACGAAGAGGGGGAGCGACAAGTATGAAGGAGATTTATGGGGCCAGTGGCAATTGTTCAGGATCCTGACAGTAGTGGTAGTTACTAAGTCTTCACACATGAATGCTACACCAAGAAGAACAAGGGTACTGTTATTGTATGATAATTGTGAAAGCAGCTTTGAAAGTTGAATGTGGAAGTTTCTTCCCTAGCCTCCAGGATGTAGTATGGACTTGTTAGTGGGGTCACAAGGAGGGCCCAGCCTGGTGGTTGCTCCTTGGCCATAGGGCTATTTCTCCACATAAAGTGTAAGGATGTCATTTCGTTGCAGTAGACTAAAATGTGTTCCTGGGCCAGCGCTGTGGCTCACTTGGCTAATCCTCTGCCTGCGGCACCAGCACCCCAGGTTCTAGTCCCAGTTGGGGTGCCGGGTACTAGTCCCAGTTGCTCCTCTTCCAGTCCAGCTCTCTGCTGTGGCCTGGGAGGGCAGCAGAGGATAGCCCAAGTGCTTGGGTCCCTGCACCCACATGGGAGACTGGGAGGAGGCACCCAGCACCTTGCTTCGCATTGGCACAGCGCCGGCCGTGGTGGCCATTAGGGGAGTGACCAATGGAAGGAAGACCTTTCTCTCTGTCTCTCTCTCACTGTCTATAACTCTGTCAAATAAAATAAAATGTGCTCCTGAAAGTCACAAGGATTTTTGTCTCTAAAGAAGAGACACTTTTGAGTCCTGGAAAGTCAAGGATTTAGAAGGGCTGAGTCCTTACCCTGGCATAGTGTGTTGTGAAATCCTGCCCTGGTACAGCCTCAGTTGCCCACCTATTCAATGTAGCTAATATCTGGCTTGCCTGGGGTCACTGCTCATAAGGCAGGAATTCAAACATTTCGGTTGTCAGGCCTACTCAGTTTTGCATGGAAACGGAAGGCTTCTCCCACAAGCCCTTCTGGAGGGGAGGACTGTTATGTGAGGTATGTGTTGGAGAAACCAGATTGTGCTGACCAAGTTTTTCAAGGTGCCTCACACGCGTATTTAGTAGTAGTCTGGGCTCTACTCCATCATCCCATTTCATCTTCCCAGTAACCAAATCACTTCCTTGAGATCTGTATCCTGCAGACACCTGGCTTCTAAACCAATTACAGTGGCAGTAATTTCCCCATGGGGTTGTGGGGAGTTGCAGCTAGCCATCGGAATTCTTGGTGGCAGCACTTTTAGTATTACGGTCAACCCTAGTGGATATTCTTGGCATGTGCTGCTGCCACCAGCCCTATGTGCATGTGGCTTACTGAGAGAGTCTGGGTGACCACCCAAGCCTCCCCCTCCCATTTCTGCCACCATCCATTGCCCTCCCCCCACCATTCTGAGGTAAATAATGCAGCACTGGTGTTAACTATATTTATCCATTTATTAAAATACTTTAAGAAGCAATACTTTATTAACTTTGAGGACTGGTGATCCATTTGGGGGGGGGAGAGGAATAGGCACACTTTGTGGACCTTTTCTTTCTTTCTTTTTTTTCTGTTAACCTTTCACTACCCCACTTCCTGTCCTCACCAGCCCCTGGCCCTGCTGCTTATTTGCAGTGGCCTCTGAGGGAACAAAAACCGCACAACAGAAAACAACAGAGGATTACAGATTAGCCATCAAACAGACAAAAGCAATTCCCTTAATCCACACAGCCAGTCAAGGTCCCTTACAGGATGGAATGGTGTGAATTGGTTTGGTTGCTTTGGTATTAGTTTCTACCTCTTGTAAAAAACATTTTTTCCCACTTGTATCCCCAGGGAAGGGGATGCTGACCCTGTTGATTTTTCTGGTTAATATTTATTAAGTTGACATTTTTTTCTGTACTCTTCCCCTGTTGTATTCAACATAGCACAGGGCCTTTAGGATAAGGGGACTAATCTCTTATAGTGTTGACACCAAAGGACTTGATGCCAGTTTAAAGCTAGCTGGCTTTTTTCTTCTCCACTATTCTTCGGGCCTGGAATTGCCCACTCTATCAATTCCTCAGAAACTTCTACCAAAGATGCAACCAAACCCCAGAGCTTTGGCTGTTAATGGTGTCTGTGAACAAAATTGAGATGGATATTTGGTGTCTGGTCCCACCACCATAGCAATTGGATCTCTGCAGGTAGTTAGCAGTGAAGTCCTGAAAAGAGTTTATGCTCCCAGGGGCTAAGGCAACTCCCTTGAGAGAGGAATCATTTCTTGCTTCATTTCTAAGCGAGTATGTGCACGAACAGATGCTCAGGAGGTTGTCTTCCTTTTCAGGATACAACTGCCATTTTGCAGGTAACTGAGCGATTTAACAAGCCACACCTGCTCCCGGGCCTTGTCATCTGTCAACTCTGCTCCATATTGGACTCAAGCCCCAAATCTTAGTGGTTCTGAACATTCAATATTGTTCTGACTCAGGGTGGGAAGATAGGGTGAGTGGAAGGGAATCCACATGGTATTAACAGAGCAACAGCAGCATTACAATGTACCAAGACCTATAGTACTTCAGCCAAGCAAGCACAAGATATGAAGTCCTATTACAGTTTACTATCATCACTGGCAAAAAATAATTACAAGACATAGCCCCACTTGGAATACAGTCAAGATAAGGCTATCCTTTCTCAAGACTTCCTTCTGTTCCCTTAGCTTTTCTCATGTGAAAATTTTCCCTTTTGGAAAAGTTTCTTCTGAGAAAAATGCAACTTGGTTTCCAATCTATGAGTGTGTGTGCAGGCATTAAGGCGTGCTGCCATGGAGGACCCAAGTTGAGCTGTGATGGTGACCTTGCTGATGTGATCCAATACCTCCTCTTGGAAAGAAAGAGCTATCCAGAGAAAGCCAAAAACACAGCAACAGCACACTCCCCACTCAGATATACACAATAAGTTAACACATCCTGGTGCTTTGTAAATGTTTCCTCTTGGCATTTTCCTTCGACTTTCTTCTCTTCTTGTAGCGCCAGGACTTTTGTTTGGCAGAGCAGTCAGACATTTGGGGATTATCCCCTTGTTAGTAGTTTTCTCCTCACCCCTGCAGAGGTGGAATACAGGAGGCTGGTTTAAGTGGATTAGGCTGGTGGAGTTCCAGAGTTGAGAACCAGTGCTTAGAGTCTGGATTGTGCACCTCGATGAACCAGCCATTGGACTGAGTCAGGAAATTGAGCACACTGAGTTTGAAGAGTGGGGAGAGGTCAGGTTTTTGGCTTTCTCTTGATAAAGGGGAAGGGAAGCTTACCCAAAGGTTCTGAGTTGAGCATAGGGTGAGGATGCAAGGCAGACCAGAGAGAAACTCCCTGGGCATAGGTGTTTGATTAGATTTGCCTGACTGGGAGTAGAAATTCAAAAACACAAATTGGGATTCGGAGCAGTTTAGGCCTGTTTGTAGTCCTTAGAAATTTGGAAGAAAAAAACTGTGGGGAAGCAGGGGCTTTTAGCCTCCGTTTCCCCAAATCCAAGTTCTCTTCTGGTCATGTAGAATGCCTCTCTGCACTCCAGGGAAAAAGGCAAGATGGAAGATCTGAAGGTGATTTCGGGACTGTCCTAATAGCCTGTGACTCAAGGCCTGGTTGCTCCGTAATGGTTGTTTTATTGGGGAAGGGGCCAGCACAGGTCAGGGTAGTTGCTGATGTAGAGTCCAGGACAAATTGAACAAAAAAGGGCAGCATGCCAGCATAGCCCCCTTCTCAGAGGCATTGGTATTTTTTGTTCTCAATTCTACGGCCTGGCTCAGAATTTTCAAGGGGTGTCAGAATTGACTGGACTAAAGGTAGAGCCCAGCCATTTCTAAGACGCTGAAAATGCACCAAAAGATTAGAAGCTCCACCAAGATCTAGGGCAGTTGGTAGAGGTGTATATGTGTGTAGGGCAATGGAGATAGGGAGGGAGTCCTGGGTTAGCACAATAAATTATACGGTCACTTAGAGGTTGAGTTGTATTTTCAGTTCTTTAAAAATATCTCTATATATTTACATCTTTATGTCTCTGCATATAATCTATACTGCAGCACAGTGGCAAAACGTTTACTTAAAAAACCCAGCAAGAATGCAGGCAAACACTCCATGGAGGCATGCAGGCTAGGATTAAGGCAGTAGGAGGGGGCCTTAATGGTTGCTATGAGGGGTGAGCGCCAACCAATGGACCCACCCAGCCACCAGAGCACCACCTGGACATGTGCAAAGACATTACAAGCACACATGGAGAAACACAAAGGCTTTGCAGAAAAGGAGGGTTTCCCATATCTCCAAGAAATGATTTCACATGGTCATATAAACAGGCAAGTGGACAAGCCTCCAGCTCCCAGGATCTAGAACTCAGCTTAGTGAGCCAACCAGCAGAGATCTCAAGAAACTGTGAATTGTGTTTGGCAGGAATTGAGGGGAGACACAACCAAACCTGGCTGTCCTGCCCCCTCTCTTCATCTCCCTGAAAGTCTTTCTTGCATTCATTCATTTCCTTAGCATCAGCAGTCTTGCTGCAAGAGTTGAATTCCATTGAATCTTTTGTAGATCCCAGGCTGTTCATAAAGCACTCATCCCAGGAAATACTACGATTGCTCAATATGTACAAAGAGAAGGAGAACTGAACAAGACAACTCAGAACAAGAATCTTTGGCCAATGAGAAAATGTAAACCTCTAAGGAGACCTGATTCAGTCCAGGAAGAGTGTGTTAGTGTAAAGAATTGGAGGGTCTTCCTTGGTGGTGCACATGCTTGTTCTGAAACAATGTGGTGTAGGCTCGATTGAGGTTTCAAGAGTTTTTTTTTTAAAGAAGAATTTGTATATGAGTTCACCCTCCAGCTTTTAAGGGCTACAACAGAGATCTTGATGGTGCTGGAGGCTCATCATCAGTTGCTTGATCTTCGCGATTTCGGCGATGCCATAAACTGCCTTCAGAGAAAAAATAAGTGCAGAAATCATAAGGTTAGTACATTGCAAGATGGCCAAATACATGAACTCTAAAGATGGCAAACAGTCTGTTCGTAGAGACTGGATTGTACCCACTACAACAACCATCTCTGAATCACCAGAGAAAACCAGCTGATATCATGGGAGCCAAACACAAATGGGATGGATCCTCAGCACCTGATAATTTATAGAATTGCTACTGACTCCATCAACATCTTTAGAAATACTCTCAAACACCATGCATGGTCTCCCAGTTGGCAGATTAGTAGGGGCTCAAACCAGGTGAAGTATAGTTGAGAAAATCCAGATCTCTTGGTTCAAGAGATTCTCTCTTGGGGCCAGCGCTGTGGCATAGAAGATCAAGCCTCTGTCTGCAGTGCTGTCATCCCATATGGGCATTGGTTTGAGTCCTGACTGCTCCACTTTCTATCAAGCACTCTGCTAATGTGCCTGAGAAGGCAGTGGAAGATGGCCCAAGTCCTTGGCCCCTGCAGCTATGTGGGAGACCCAGAAGAAGCTCCCAGCTCCTGGCTTCGGATCATCCCAGTTCTGGCTGATGCAGCCATTTGGGGAGTGAACCAGTGGATGGAAGACCTCTTTTTCTCTCTCTGTCTCTCCCTCCCTCTCTCTCTGTAATTGTGCCCTTCAAATAGATAAAAAAGAAAGGGATTCTCTCTTGACATCTATGCAAACTTTATTACTCCCCCGAACCCAGGAAAAAAAAACTCCCTTTTTTCCCATGTCCTCTACTGCTATATGGGTCAAACTTCCAGGTTGTCTTGGCCCCGGATATAAGATAACCTATCGACATCAGAACTGGAATAATGGATGACTCTAAGAAAACCTTCTTTTGAGTCCTACTGACATACAAGTAGTGCTTAGGAGCAATTCTGAAGAAGGAAGGAATGGGTGCCAAATTCAAGTGATGAAATGTATAGACATTTCGTATCTTCAGGGACTTCTTATGACAGATGGGGAAAAATGTTTAGATAGGCTGTGGAACTTGTTCCTGACTTTCAGGAATGGGTCAAGCAGAAAAATAACTGCTGGCTTCTGACTGTGTTTCCAGCTGTACACATCATTAAGGCCACACAGCGATATTCCTTTTCTGGTTCCACCCCAACCCCACCGCCTGCCCTGATCACAGTGTCCCAATCACTTTTGAATTCACATCTTTTCCAAGCGATTGCTTGGCATTACCAAGCTGTTGGCTCTCAGCTGGCTTCCCTTTTCATCGCCATCATGCCTATGAGCATTTCTGCTTGGAGCTACGTGTCCCTGTGGTGGAGACTTACCGAAAAATCCCTGGATTCCTCGGCCTGACTTATGCCTGTCTTCCTCTTCTAGTTTTTTCTTCCCCAATTTGGGGAACTGACCTTTCAACCTCAGGCTCCTACTGTCCATGTCTGAAGACTTTTCCTGGGAAACCAGAGCAAGAGGAAGGTAAAAATGTTAGTTACTTAGCATTCATAAGTAATTTCTGGATGCCTGGCAAGGATGGCTGCAGGAAGCAGGCAGATCTCTCTGTGCAGGCATGAGAGACGGTTCTATTCACTGCTCACTAGGAAAACAACTGATTTTTTTTTTTACCAAGATGCTAGGGAGAATAGATACCCTCATAGTAAATGCACTCACAGAAGTCTCATGATAACCTTGTAAAATGACTATTATCAATCGCATATTAAAGATAAAAATGCAGGGGTAGCTGTTGTAATACAGGGGGTTAAGCTGCTGCTCAAGATACCGATATCCCATATTGGAGTTCTTGCAATCAAGTCTCACAATCATTTTTTTAAAAAGATTTATTTATTTGAAAGTTTTCTCCTCAAATGGCTGCAATGACTAGCACTAGATCAATACGAAGCCAGGAACCTAGAGTTCCATCAGAGTCTCCACTGTGGGTGGCAGAGGCCCAAGTACTTGGGCCATCTTCTGCTTCTTTTCTAGGTGCATTAGCAAGGAGCTGGTTTAGAAACAGAGTGGCTAGCCCTCATATGGGATGCTGGTGGCAACTTAACTTGCTGTGCCACAATGCCACCATACTCCACTTCCAATTTCAATGCAGCTTCCTATGCTCAACTCAGAACCTTTGGGTAAACATTCTACATGACCAAAAGAGAACCTGGGGAGGATTACAAACAGGCCTAAACTGCTCCAGATCCTTATTTTTGAATGCTACTCCCAGTCAGGAAAATCTAATCAAACACCTATGCCCAGAGTTTCTCTCTGGTCTGCCTTGCTAATGCACCTGGGAAGATGATGGCTCAAGTACTTGGGTCCCTGCCACCCATGTGAGAGACCTGAATGGATTTCCTGGCTCCTGGCTTTTGCCTAGCCCAGCCTTGCTTCTCTCATTCTGACTTTCAAATAAATGAGAAGAACTTTTTTAAAAATTTATTTGACAGACTTAGACAGTGAGAGAGAGACAGAGAGAGAGGTCTTCCTTCTGTTGGTTCACTTCCCAAATGGCCATCATGGCCGGCGCTGCGCCGATCCAAAGCCAGGAGCCAAGTGCTTCCTCCTGGTCTCTCACACGGGGTGCAGGCGCCCAAGCACTTGGGCCATCCTCCACTGCCTTCCCGGGCCACAGCAGAGAGTTGGACTGGAAGAGGAGCAGCCAGTACTAGAACCCGGCACCCATATGGGATGCCAACACCGCAGGCGAGGATTAACCAAGTGAGCCACGGTGCCGGCCCAGAGAAGAACTTTTTAAAAATGAGAAAGCAGAGGCTCAGAGAGGTCAAACAAGGCCCCTACTGTCTCATCTGGCAGCTCTTCATGAACTAGGGGGAAAAAAAGCACTCCTTCCTTCAGACACGGGCTCCAGTATTATGAATATCAGTTCTCTGCTGTGCATGATTTTGTGAGCCCTTACTTACCGCTTTGGCTAAATACCTTCCTATGGAAAGAGATTCTGTCCTAGGCCAGGCATACTTACAGACAAATTGGGACCTCAAGGAATGGACTGTGTTTGCTTCATTTCTCTCAAGATCTAGCTCATTTACGTAGCTGGAAAGGTTGGTGAGGGAGAACTGAACTGGGTAATAATGGAAGCAACATGAATTTCTTTCTTTCTCTGCTTAACAATGTCTTCCTTGAGTGCTACTGATTAAGAGTCCTGGAAAGTACTCAGGTCGTCAACAAAGGCATGCAAGAAAGCTGGGGACTCCTCGAAAACCTGAATTTGTATATAGCTTTTTCTCAGAAATTGTAACCTGGTTGTTGGATTCATCCAAACATACCTGTTTGGCAGGCTCACTTGCATGTAAGTGGTCTATTGAATCAGAACTTGGGTAGAATGAGTGGAGGGACTAGGGATTTCAACAGGTTGACAGGAATGGTTTTATGGTAGGGAATTTTCAAGAAAAACCCTTTCAGACCACAAAGAGAGTAATTTCTTAGTGATAGGTAGACTTCTTTGGGTTATTTGATTTATGAAGTGGGACTGTTTTTCAATGTTAGGAAAGCACTTATGGTTATCCATAACAGACAACATCCCTACAGCTATCTTGTAGCAACTTCTCCCTTGCTTGCTTTTCTTTTCAACCGTGCACTTGCTAGGAGGAACAACTGAAAAAAAAACTCGTTAAGCTCCATCAAGAAGCAGGGAAAGGCGATATTTGGAAGATTTAACCACCAGTATGGCTTGGGCACCAACCATTTAGAACAGATGTGTGTGTTTCAGATGAAGTTCAGTCCTGGCAGCAGGTCCTGAGCAGAGATGGGGAATTTGAAGCCAGGAAAACACAGGAAAAAGAAACCAATCTTGCTTACTATTCCTTGATTATCTTTGGCTACAAAATGGGTCTTATTTCCCTATGATCCCCTAAGTTTTCAATGTGTTTTGTTACTTTCCCTGTCCACTTATGATGAAGAGATGGATGTGGACTCTCCATTAAGCTGAAAGCCACCTCTAGGCTCCCTCTGCTACATGAATCATTATGTTCTGGAACATATTGGAAGGTAAGACACCACATAAGAATCCACCTCCACCTTTACTTCCCAATCTCTGGGTTAAGTACCTCTGGAGCAAGAATTGGACACATCCAGTCGATCTCAGAAAGCTTTTCAAACTGTTCATTCATGGCATCCAGGGCGGCTTGTAATGTGGCCTTGTCTTCAGCATTTCTCAGCTGGTACAGACAGAAAAAAAATGAGTGTCTAATGCTTAACACCTTACCTCTACAGTCTATTTCCTTCTCCCCCACTGTCAGCACTCCTAGTAGCTAAGAGACTGCAGGGTGCCTGCTTGCATCTTCATTGGTTGTAGCCAGCTCTCTTCTTTCTCAACAGGGAGATCCAGGAAATGACCAAATGGTAGGGTCCCCAGGGGGCTGGCCACACTCACACACAGTTTGGCAAGTGGAGAGGTCTTTTGACCAGTATCAATTAACATTGAGTTTTACCCCTATAGCTTAGGGTCCAGGACAAGGGTCCTACTCTTTAACCTCAAGTCCTTGGAGATATCACCTTAAATAATAGCTATTAAGTTTTGAGCACACAATGTATGTCAGGTAGGCAGTATGCATACGTAATTTCATTCCAAGGCATATTGTTCTCATTTCATAGGTCAGAAAAAGGACTTGAAGAAGTTTAGTGCTCAAAATCACATGACTAGACAGAACGTAGATCTGTTTAACTCTATGGTTTATCCTCAACACAATACTGTTCCAGAAAGGACATGTGGAGTGACAAGATGCTGGGAGAATCTTTGTTACACACTTATTGTAATGTAAAGGTCACTTTATGAAGCAAGGAGAGAGGGCTAGAGAAAGACTGGCTCCAATTTTCACTTCATAGTAAAGAGGGTTTGCCCTGCCAGGCTAAGTTTTAGCTCCCAGCTGTTCATTCTTAGTAAAGAAGAAACTAATTCCAGGTGCTTGTCCCACAGGCTTGGGAAACAAAGCTTAAGTGCTCCCTGATAACACCCTGCACACTCTGAACTCTGTAAGTTCATGGGAAACCTATTATGGATTCTTTTGGGACTAATCCTAACTCAGAAGAACTGAGTTCTAGACCAGTAACATAGGTGAGATAGTTCATGTTCCATTAAGTAAGGAGTTGGGAGCTCACATGCACATTGATATCAATTCTGTCATGCTTGCAGCTTGCCTAATCTGGCCTCCTTTTCTCTCCACCATGAATTCTAATTTCTATATGGCACTTAATTGGCTTCTTGCTGTGCATGGATCACTCGCTGCTCCAGGCTGATGTTAGAGCCTCACCAGCTGGCATAAAAGGGTGGCAGTGACTGTGTGGAGGAAAGGATGGGAAGTAATGGCCAGTTAGGATGAGAGATGATGGAGAAGCAAGTCAAGAGTGACAATAAGCTTTTTTTGTTTTACAACAAATGACTTAGGACAATATAGACTGGCCCAGCTGCATGACCCATGTGTATGGCAGATAAAGGCAATGGGAGTTGCTGGGTGAGATCCACTTCATCCCATTGCTGACACTGAGCTTGTCACAGCTCTCCTTCCTCAAGGGGATAAACAACACCCAACAGAAACAAATCTTATCTATATCCCATCTCTATGACAGCCCTTCTGGAGATGCAATGCCATTCTTATATTGCTACTGTCTGCCTCCTGGCCTCATTATGGATTGTGTGCGTGTGTGTGTGTGTGTGTGTGTCAGGGGGTCCTCACCAGGTCTCATAGCGGGAGCCTTCTCAAGTGTGGCATAAGCTCAAGTTAGGTTGTTAGCTGGCACAAACCCATTTTCAGCCAACAGGCCCTAAGAAAGCATGAGTGGCAACAAGAGGCTAAACTCTCATATTTCCCGCTGCCCCAAACTGGCAAGAACATTGTGTTATGCCTATATATAGAAGGTACTTCTGATGCTGTTGTCTAAGGCTGAAAGACTCTAGCTTGGGGCTCAGATACTGGGACAGCCTGGCCTGATTGTCTTAGCCACTCTGCCTCTTGTGCAATGTTGCAATTAGATGAGCAAATGAAAAGGGGAAGTGGATACACTTCTTTCAATATCGACTCAGAATCCTCTCTTCAAATAAACTTTAATTAAATGAGAGGCAAAGCACAGCACCTGCCTCGGGGCCTCAGCAGCCAACCCCAACGTGGAGTGGTCATGATCAGTTGCCTCATCAGAACACACTTACCAAGTGTGCCATGGGCTTTGCATTGTGAGAAACATGCTAGTCTTAGCCTGAAAATGAAGACTCCGTCCATTCTCTTTAGCACTAATAAAAGCTACCATCTATCAAGCTGCTACTACGTGCCAGACAGTGTTAGGCATTTACTACACAATAGTTCATTTTAACGTCCCACAATAACCTTGAGAGATAGGGATTTCAACTCCTATTTTATAGATATGGAAACCAAGACCCAGGAGGTGAAGTTACTTCACACAGCTAGTGTTAAGGGGTTCTTTATCCCCAGTGCCTCAGAATGGGATCTTATTTGGAAACAGGGTCATGGCAGACATAATGAATTGTAAAGCTGGGGTCATGCCATGACTGTAATAAAGATAGAGACACACAGGTGAAGATGGAGGCAGAGACTGGAGTGATGCATACTAGCCAAGGAGCACCTAAGACGATTAGCAAACCACCAGCAGCCAGATCGATTCCCCTGTGGGCTTCAGAGGGAAACCCTGTCTATACCTTGAGTTTGGACTTCTAGCATCTGGAACTGTTGTGCTTTGAAGTCACCCAGTTCTTGGCACTTTGATATGGCAGACTTTGGAAACAAACACAGCAAGTAAGTGGCAGATTTGGGATTTGAACCCCAAGTTCCCCCAGTTTTCCCACTGTATCTATTGCCTTCCCATATGGTGAGAAAGCTATGTAGAAACTTGGAAAATATGAGCAATTCAGAAGAGTTCACTGGGCATGATGAGAACACTCTGCTTTGGATTGGTGTAGTCTGGACCCAGGAGCCATTTCCCAAAGGCAAAGGAGACATTTCTTTCCAGGGTATAGTAGTCTCTATGGATTAAAATAACCTATGAACTGAGACGGTCAATGACAGTCCTGAGTGACACAACAGAGACAGCTGGGCAAGCCGTTGATCAAAATGTTCCCACGTCTCCAGTGCCCTGGAACCAAGCACAGACCAACTTCAGATGGGATACTCAGCCTGTCCATGCTCCCATCCCCTGCACTCACCAAATTTTCATCCAGGAAAGCTTTGGTGTCATTGTAGAGCCCTTTAAGACTAAATGTAACATCTACCGCGTCGTTTCTGCTTAGAGTCTGAGAGGAGAAGAAGGGAAGGGAAAGGACAAAGAGGAGTTGTTGGTTAGTAAGCATGCATCTGGCTTCTCTGTGAGAAGGTGGAAGCAGACTGATAGGACATGACTGTAGGTGACAAAGTACTATTCGATATATAGGACAACTAGTACAGCACAGGCTCCAACTAGTCGAAACTGATGCCAGCTGTCAAATACTGGTACAGTTGCTCTGGTGTGCCCTAAGAAGTGACACAGCACAGTCTGGCTTTTGGCATCATTCCTTGGGTACAGTGGGTACACAAAAACAGGAAATATGCAAACCAGAGAGTAAATCAAGGCCACTTGTTAGCCCTAGGCAAAAAAAACACTTTTCCCATGGCAGGTGGAGTTGAGCCCAGGTGTCTCTCTTCTCAAAACCCCAGGCCCTGAGCTGCAAGTCTCCTCAAACTAAGATTTGACCTGAAGTAGTTAATCCACATCTTAGCAGACCATAACCCTACTGTATCTTTAGCCTAGCATTTAAGTTACTTTTAAAAAAGAATCACATCTTCTGGCAGTGGGTAAAGCCATGGGATTGCATATCTAACATTAAGTGTCCTGATTTAGACCTTGTCCTCAAAAGGGAAACCAAGGCACCCTGGGACTTTGGTTCTGATAGTGTCTACTTGGGATGAGGAAGGGCCAGGCTAAGGACAAATTTTTCTCCATCCGTGGGCCATTTCTCCCCTGAGCCTGGTGTTGTGGATAGCTACTGGGGAGGAGGGCTAGATCTCAGGACGATGAAATCTGTTGTGGGATTCCCCCCAGTAGCCACTCTGGATCTGTAATGAGGAGTGACTGCCTTCCTTTTTGCTTTGTCAGTTTTCTACCATATCATTTGCCCAGTTTCTCCATCCAGCCTATGGATCCCCTTCATTCCTTTTCATCCCCTTTCCTGTCTGCTTCAACTTCTTTCCTTCAGTTACCCCTCCCCCACTGCACCTTACCTCAATGGGAGTACAGGAAGCTGCACCTGCCTCATTGCTACTGTCTTGGCCATAAAATACATCATTCAAGATGTTGGCACTGGCATGCACAGAATCCATGAGGACAGATACATGCTGGTGGACCTTGCTCAGGTCATTAAGTCTGTAATAAAACAAGGACAGACAGGTGAGTCAGGAGATCTGAAGGATTTCTGACCTGGGTTTCTGGTAAGGGTTGGAATAAGAGTAAAAAGGAAAGTCCTGCATACCTGACTTGGACTCTTTATTCCCTCCTGTTTTTTCTCTTTTTTTTTTTCTCAGTAGCCACTGATATCAAAAACTGTTTCTAGGGGCTGGTGTGGTGGTGCAGCAGGTTAAGCTGCTGCTGCAAGACTCACATCCCATATCAGGGTGCTGCCGGTTCAAGACCTGCCTGCTGTGTTTCCAATCCAGCTCCCTGATAATGTGCCTGGGAGAGCAGCGGAAGATGGCCCAAGTGCTTGTACCCCTGCCACCTGGATGGAGTGCTAGGATCTTGGCTTTGACCTGGCCCAGCCCTTTGGAGAGCCATTGGAGTGGGGGATGAACCAGTGGATGGAAGATCTCTTTATCTCTTTTGTCTCTCCCCATCCTCTCTCTGTCACCCTGCCTTTCAAATAAATAAAATAAATCTTTATTTAAAAAAAAAGAAAAGATAAACTGTTTCTATTCTTCCCTAGGTATTCACCTTTGTCCATCCTGTCTCACCTTATTTAAATTCCTGGGAACTTGGGTAGGATGTGAGACTGGAATAGAGGTGGGTAGGATAAACACTGTTAGTCCTGTTGGGTCTGGGACAGCAGGAGGAGACAAAGATACATCTCTGAGCCCAATAGGAAAGGTCCAAGCTGGATTATTGCTGAGCACAAAGAATATTTTCTGCCTGGATCATCCAGGCCCCAGTCAATCTTCAAAGCTCTAAGTGAGAGTCCTGTCTGAGGCCTGACCTCCAGGTAGCCATTAGACAGAAATTGGCTGCTTCTCCTTAACCCTTCTTAAGATGCTTGACCCTTTCTCTAGGCCATCCCACTTACCTGCTGATGAGATTTTCTGCAAGCTGAGCTAAGTGCTGCATCTGGGCATGTTCCTCATCAGAGAGGCTATCTTGCGATTGCTGGGAACCCAGCTGGGGTTGCAGGGCAGCCTTAATTTCCGTATGCTTGCACTCCCATGTCTTCATTGAATTTTCAAAGTCCTGAAAATGAACACAGTGGTGGATTCTAATGGTTGCTATAGTTAAGAGTTCATGTGACCAATCTATCTATGAGTCTGATATTTGTGGGTAATTTGCAGGTATAGTGGGTATATTGTGGGCATAGTTAATCTCCACAAACATCCATCTATACACCTCTGCCTCCATCCCTCACTTTATTCAATGTCCTTTTTGCACTTGGCATTTTTGGTTCTGATGTTGTTTAATATGCTAGGTCTTAGAACACCAGGCTTGGATCACATAGCTGTCCATCATACCAAAACTCCTTTATGAGGAGACAGTGAAACATTTTTCATGCTCCTTTCTTTGCCAAACCAGGGCAGTAGGTTGTGATGGAGTTTTGAGCTAGATAGAGCTAATTTAATTTTGAATCATGCTTCTGGCATTTACTAGCTGTGTGACCATTAGGAAACTATTTAACCTCTTTGGTCTTTTTCTTTTCCCTCAAAGAAACCTTTTATTTAAGGAATACAAACTTAATGCATTTCATAAGTACAACTTTGGGAATACAGTGATTCTTCCCACCATACCTCTCCCCCCACTCCCTCCCCCATTCCCAGTCCCATTCTCCACTAAGATCCATTTTTGATTAACCTTATACACAGAAGATCAACTCTATATTAAGTAAAATGTTTTCCTCATCTGTAAAATGAGTATAAGTGCAGTCACATCACAGGCTTGTTGGCAGAAAGACCTATATGAGAATACATGTATAATGCCCAGTTTGTCAAGTGGATTTCCCTCCCCACTCTACTGCTGTTTCTATGCACTGTTCACAGGTCAGAGAGGAAGACAGCCTGTATGCACTAAACATCCAGAATGGTTTCTTTCTAGCTCTAGAAGGTTTGACTGAAGCACATGACATTTGCAAATGCAATGCTTTAAGAAACATTATGCAGGGGTGGGAAACCATTGTTCTGCCAAGGGTCATTTGGATATTTATTACATTATTTGCAGTCCATACAAACTTATCAACTTAAAGATGAACCTACTGTCGATGTATTGAATTTTTTTAAAATTTTTAAAATTTATTTGACAGGTAGAGTTATAGACAGTGAGAGAGACAGAAAGGTCTTGCTTCCATTGGTTCACTCCCCAAATGCCCACTACAGGCGGCGCTGGGCCAATCCAAAGCCAGGATCCAGGTGCTTCTTCCTGGTCTCCTATGTGGGTGCAGGGGCCCAAGCACTTGGGCCATCCTCCACTGCCTTCCCAGGCCACAGCAGAGAGCTGGACTGGAAGAGGGGCAACCAGGACTAGAACCGGCGCCCATATGGGATGCTGGAGCTGCAGGCGGAGGATTAACCAAGTGAGCCATGGCGCCAACCCCTTATTTATTTATTTATTTTTAAAGATGTATTGAATTTTTTTAAGTTATATTTAATGAATATAAATTTCCAAAGTACAGCTTATGGATTACAATGGCTCCCCCCCCCCCCCATAACTTCTTTGAGTCCCACCTGCAGTTGCCTTGGCAGGGCCCAGACCAGATAATTTTAAGGCCATGGTCAGGGCGTTCCCCACCCCTGCTTATAGGAACCTAAAAAGAGTAAATTCAGTGCAGAATTTCTTGTTGAAGGAGATTTCTCCATCACCATCTGAGGCCTTTAGTTCTGCGTGCAGCAGAGAGACAGGGTTGCCCAAAGCCACAGGAGAGAGTGCCTTGTCTTACTCGCTTGCAAACAGCAGTATATATCAGAATGTTCTAAGGAGCATGTTTACCAATTTAATGGATCTGATGTGGGACCCAGGAGTGTGCATTTATAATCAGCACCCCAGGTGACTCTCATGCAAGGGGTATGCAGAACTCCCTATGAGGGATTTTGCTTGACAGGAAGTATTCATACGTAAGTGGCAGCCGTGGATGAGGCAATGTAAGAGCCCAAGGCAAGCCTTTCCCCACTTACCCGATCTCTCATCAGCATTTGGGCAGCATTCTTGTATTTAATTTTGATAAGGCCTGGCCTCTGAACCCAGGCTTCCCCATCCACCTGCACTGGGATACCTTCTTCTCCCTCAATGGTTATCATCACCTCGTGGCACTGCCAGGGAAGAAGAGTGGAATGGAGGAGATAAATGAGGCAACTGTCAGAGACCAATCATAAAATCTCATAGTCACAGCTTGAATGCGTGTCTGAGGCAGTGCTGGCAAGGAACCAAGTCAGATAATTCCTAGGAGAATCACCTGTTTCCTACAAACTTTTTCTCCTTTAGTCTGCACCACATTTGTCTCCAACCTCAGTCAGCACCTTTGATGCCCACCAGATAACCTACTCCCCCTATGCTGGAACTCTTATGCCTTGTTAATTCTTGATCCTACCCCACATCCTGGCAGACAGCCAGAAAACTCAACCTCTTCCTGGTGCCCAGCTGGGCCCCACCTACCTGGGCGATGCGATGATGATGCAGGTTGATGATTCGGGACATCGCCATCTGCACAGAACCAAAGATTGCCACTACTTCCAGCTTCCCATCATCTATTGCAGGAGCCTCATATTCCTGAGAAGGAAGAACTGTGTCACATCTCCCACCCTTGAGAAACCAAACTTTGTGCATAATGACTAGGTGTGTTGTGAAGGCTCCTGGTAAGAATTTTTCAAGCCTATGAATATGGATCCAGGAAACCAGTTTGGAAAAAGGGCACTGAGATCACAGCTCTTAACTGGTTCCTTCCCTGTCCAATACAGCATCATAAGCCTCCAAGACCAGTCTTACTGGCTTCATGGCCTTCTTAGGCGAGCTCAGAGAAAAGAGTTCAGGGGCAGTGTTCCAAGGGATTTTACTGACAGATCTCCTTGGTGAAAAGAAAATGGCCTAGGTAGACTTTCAAGGATATATCTGACCTAAGAAGTGTAAGAAATCAAAGCCCAGGACACATTTAAGGTCTTTGGTTGATTCATGTTCTCAGGGATGGTAATTGCTTATAAAACTAAGCATACAGCTTCTTGCTAATACAAATCCCATCCCACCTGCACTTCCTCTGTTGTCCACTTTCTCACTCTAGTTAGTCCAGCTCTCCTTTCTGAGACACTTTCTCAGGGTCATGTCTTTCACCCCCTCCCCTCCTTGTTCCAATACTCACTGTGGTTGCTGTGTTGCTTCCCCAGAAATTGATACCTCCGGCATAGCTGGTAATGTTGAGCACTACGATGCCTTGCAGGTTTGGCAATGAGATGACTTCTCCATCACACTAAAAAGAAG